TCCTCCTTCTCCGTGGACATCTTTGGCGAGCTGTAACGGGACCCAGCCCTGGCTCTGACGGTCTCAGGAGCGGCAGCGGTGAAAACCAACCGGACCGCAAATCACTGCCTTGTTGCTTTGAGTCGCATTGTTAAGGATTTAAATGGCGTCCTTTTCGATTTGCCTGTTCCCGCCACAGTCTTCATCGATAAAAGTCACTGTGAAGGACACTTTTGTCATTCTTGACAGGCTTCGGGAATATTCAGCTCCTACACGGAGCTGACAGAGGAAACTTCTGTCGCGATCGTCGATAAAGAAAAAAAAAAGCAGTCCTGCGTTCAAACCTGTGTCACTAGGAGGGAAATGTAGTTTAAAACGACACGTCCATGCTCTGTTAGACAAGGTTCTTAGGTGTCATATTGAATACAACTACCAGAATGCATTGGGTGAACATGGAGGACGTTCTGTAGTTCACCGACGATACCAACGTATCACTGCCATCTAGAGGTACGTTTTTGTGAGTTTTCAAGTTTTATTTTATTTTATTATTTTATTTTTCATTATACTGTATACTTATTTCTCAATTAATTGAAGTATTGGTTATTTAAAAGTACTTTTATACTATTAAAGGTAAGATTATGTTATAGTGACAATATCAAATTTTTGATATTGTCACTATCACTATTTTTTCCAGGTGAATATTCTGGTGAATTGTTCTTTGGAGGAGTTCCAATATTCTGGTGAATTGTTCTTTGGAGGGTCTCTCAAAGACCCAGGTCTTCAACCTCCTCTGCAGTTTCTGGTTCTGCAAAATGTATGTTGTTCTGTAATACATTTTAATATTGAGACGGTAAGTATATATCAGACGTTTACCGCTAGGGGGCACTGTCTCCACAGAAATGCAGGTTTAAAGTCACCATTAAATAAAGATTGATTATAAAGATTATTTGTATTTCTACAACAATTGTGGTTATGAATTTAGTAGAGAAAGTTGACTTCATCACTGATGTAAAATCGTTTATTATATTTAAATAAGTCATGTGATCATCCCCGTGTAGCCAATCCACGTGCTTTGAGGACACGGTACATTCCCTCTGAGACTCCACCGCCACCGCTTTCCAGGTTCTACTGACATTGTCCTTCTCCCAGTTCCAGCAACTCCTCTGGGCTCCTTGGTCCTGTCAGAAGAGCTTTCCTTCACAGAGCCCCACAGGTGCTGGCCAATAGTAACCTAGGGAGGCGGTGGCACGTGGTGGTGCCCAGCCAATGTGAGGCACCCACAACTGCACACTTCCTGGAGGGAAAGTACATTCAGAGAGCATGACTGTTTCTATTTTTAATCTCTGTGGCAGAAAAAGAAGAGCAGAGAAACCAATTTTGTAACAATGCCTTAATATGACACGGTGCATGTGCACTGTGTAACAGGAGGATGAGGCTCAGCACTGGGTGTCGTTCATGGACAGCACACACACACACACACACAGATGCCTATACACAGTATGATTACCATATCAACTCAACCATGCTGACGTGTGCATGTGTGCGCTCGTGTATGCAAAAGTGGACTCAGGAATATGTTCACACTCAGATGCGTAGGAATCTCTCACACACTTCCACCCATAAATCTTGGTGCACTCCCTTAATGCCATTACCCCCCTCCCCCAATCCCTCACCCCCCAGCAGGCATGAGCCTCTTACACTCTGCTCTTATCAGTCAATTTCCTTAAATCGCTCTGCAGTCACCATGATGACATAGTGCCTTCGCTGCGAGACCTCCCTGTAACCCAAAGGCCCCACTCATAATGGCACAGGACAAAAAAGGCAATACAGTCCTGATTGAAATGTCAAGAGAGCATACAGTCATGTGGCGGTTCATGTGCAAAATAAGAAGGATGATACCTGTGGTAGTGCTTTAGATCATGGACCGGCAGGAGTTAAAAGCATGGGAAGGACACGTCACGGCAACGGCACTAATGGAATCTGTGAATATGTGATACATTAAAAAGAAAGTGGATTAAATGCTGCTTGGAAATGTATCTAACACAAGGAGAAATTGTGAAAAATGTGAAGAAAGAGCAGGATTTAAATGGGAGGGTGGGAGCTGAGCGTGTCTTGTGAGCTCAGCAGTGAAGTTGACGATGCACTGGGAGAACAGCTGCGCTGCAGGGCTTTCAGGCTCCATCACTACTGCTCTCCTTCAAGAACATCTTCCAACACATTTTCTCTCTCTCTGTTTCTCTTCCTGTCTCACTCACATACAGTTCACTAACACACATACTGGCTTTCTTGTGTTGTAAGGACTTCACATCAACATAATGCTCTCCTCAGCACCTTACCATAGTCTTTGCTATACAATCCCTAATCTCAATCCCTATTCAATCCCTAATCTGACCCTAAATAAATCCGGACCCCTAAAACACTCATCCAAGAAGAGAGGCTAAGACAGAAACATACAAACACAGCCCATAGGAACACATTGATCATCAAAATGTGTTCAGACACAACAACAAATTCAACAAAAATAATTAAGGACATTTGTTGAAATTTTAAGTCAGTGTCTACCTCTGTTTTCCAGAAGAAATAAATAATTAATTCACTATTAAGAAGCATATGATTTGACATTATGTTTTCTGTTTTGTTTTTCTGTTTTTGTTTTTTTCAGTTATGCCAAACTAAGCTAATGCTAGAGTTATAATGTTTAATTATAAAGTGGGGTAGAACCATAACACATCCCCCAAGAACCTTTTTCTGATGAAGAAAAAAAACCTATATAATTTGAGCATATAGAGAGTTTTGGTATTTTCATAATTTAAAAAAGGTATTCTTTTAGGACAAATCTTTGTACAACTTTTCATCCTTTATCAGCACTACTGTTTAAAGGTTATTTTTTCAGCTTCACCTTCAAACACAGGCAGATAAATGTTGTTCTGTCTTATTTTACTTAGTTGTTTGTTCCAAAGAGGCTAGCTGCTCTGGGAAAGTCTGGCTTTGTACCTGAAATGCTCCATCAACAGACAAACAAACACACACCATTCCTCATCCATAGGTGAATAATTCAAGAAGATTCCAGAAGACACCATTATCCCGGGCAGACATGTAAGCTGACACGACGAACCTCCTCCGCTCTGCCCTCATCACACACTGATGTAGCTGAAGCTAACTGACCTTCACAGTCCAAGAAAATGACGAAAACTGTTCATAGTTTGTTTGTTTGACTCCAGATGAAGGTGAAGCAGCGACTTCAGATCGTTTGTTAATCAAGGTAAGACTGAACCAAGTGCTGTTGTTGTTACTGTAACAAAATGTTTGTATTTTATGCTGTATTAGATCTATGGATATCAGACTTCACACTGTCATAAACAGGAAATTAATTAGCATTTTCTCATTAGATGCTAACGGTTCTCTGGGGGGGTCATTGCTATCATTTGGTCATTAATTTTCTCATAGGGTAGGATTATTTAGTAGCTGTAAATGTGACGGACGCACAGGTGCATTATGTTGGTGTTTTAAAAACAGTCCTGTTTTTGGCAGGACTATGGTCACAGTGTTATGACATACAGTAAACAGTTAATTCACAAATAATGTCTTCTATAATCACAACTCATCGTTCCCTTTTTACCGACCTACATTCAACTTGTTTTAGTACATAACATTACCTCACAAATGTTTACAGTATTTTACTTATCAAATATGTGTCCACGTTTGATATTTTACACAGGCATTTTAGATGTCACCTATAAATATAGTTTTTTGTATCTGGTTCATGTCGGCCCAGCACACAAGGTGTATAAAGATGGCCACCTGGTTACATAATTAAACTACCAGGTGTATCACTACATAAATAGAATATGGAAGGACAACAACGTTGGAACCCTTATTAAGGTCATGATGTTGGCTGTGTTTACCATTAATGTGATGTTGGAGATCACTGCTAATCATTCTGTCAATAACATGTTAATTGAAGCTATACATTTTACACAAAGCTTTCGGTTTTGTTTTTTTACAGTAAAACCACAGAGGAATTGTGGTCTGCTTTATCCTTATATATATTCCACACTTTCTTTTAAGAATGAATTTTACATTTGAGCTAATTGTGTCCATTTAAGCTGCTGTTTAAACATAGTCGAGGAGCAAGATGGCCGCCGCCTCCGAGCATCAGGGCCCCTGCCTGTAGCGCTGATAAAATGCTTAATTTTTAATCACAAAATTACTCGAACCGTTCTTTTTTCTTTTTCAGATTTTTGACAAAAATATTTTACAAATGAAAAGATGAAGAAGAACAATAGTGTCAAATAATGTTTTCGTTCTCCGCTATTTAAGGTGATCGGGGCAGGGGGTTGAGTAGGACAGTGGAGGGACAGGAGTGTGTGGAGGAAGGGAGAAGGAGGGGGGGAACGAGGGGGAGGTTTTCTGATGCTCACTCGTGTCACTGTTCACTGAGGCTGTAACGATAATCAGGAGGCAGCGGACGAGGAC